ACAGAAACTCACAGAGGCACCAAAGTTACTGTGATTGATCATCATCGGCTGCCCTACAATACCCTATGGTCGAATGATGACATCACTTAGGCCACGCCCCCTGAGAACAGGAAGTGTAATGTTTTACTGTCAACTGTCACTATCTGACCCCTATGACCTCATCAACATGAAACTGTGCCAAGACACAGAAAACATGTTGGTGTATTGAGGATTCCAACCCCGACCAGCTTCGATGGAGCAGCTGGGCGTGGCGGCGTGGCGAAGTGACCCGTAACGCCATAGCCATACGTTTGGCTCTCAATTCCACATTTTTGGGCGCAGCTGCTCCAAACTCACAAAGATGGATCTTCATCCACTCCCCGACAGGAATCCATCACAATATTTGCAGGGTGTGGCCTAATTTCTCTATAGCGCCCCCTAGAAATTTTAAATGATCAGCCCCAAGCCATGCTTTAACCTACAACTACGAAACTTTGTACACGTGTGTACCATGTCAGGACTTACAAAAAAGTCTCTTGGAGCCACGGTCTAAACCCCAGAGGAAGTCAGCCATTTTAGATTGAAGTTCAAATTTTGATCCCATTTTTGCCGTTTACAGCCTTCCTATTTGATCGAACTCCTCCTAGGGATTTCGATTGATCGGCTTCAAACTCGGTCAGTCTGCTCATAAGGCATGTCCCATCTAAAGTTATCAAAACGGTGAGTTTTTGAGAATGCTGAAGGGGGGTTAGCAGGGGTCAAAGTTCACCTACTCGCCGTAAAAAAATAAACTGCTATATCTCCTACACAGAAACTCACAGAGGCACCAGACTTTCTGTGATTGATCATCATCGGGTGTCCTACAATACCCTATGGTCGAATGATGACATCACTTAGGCCACGCCCCCTGAGAAAAGGTGTCATGTTTTACTCTGAACGGTCGCTATCTCACCCCTTTGACCTCATCAACATGAAACTGTGCCCAGACACAGAAGACATGTTGGTGTGTTGAGGATTTCAACCCCGACCAGCTACGATGGAGCAGGTGGGCGTGGCGGCGTGGCGAAGTGACCTGTAACGCCATCGCCATACGTTTGGCTCTCAATTCCACATTTCTGGGCCCACCTGCTCCAAACTCACAAGGATGGATTCCCATTAACTCCCCGACAGGAATCCATCACAATATTTGGTGGGCGTGGCCTAATTTCTATAGCGCCCCCTAGAAAACAGCAGCCCATAGGTTATGTTGTTATTAATTATTTAAATATACATTATTATAACTTTTTATATATATATAAGTTTATTTTGTGGGTTAAAGTACAAACATTCATTCATTTTTGCTAGAAATAATACAAACAAAGTCATTCAGCAAAACTTATGACAGCGAAGTAAGAACACACTGGGGTCAGTGTTGATGGAGTACTACTGGCACCTTGTGGAGAAATACTGGTACTGCTAGTGCAATACCAGTATTGCCCCAGCAGGAGGCAGTGGTACTCCATCAATGAGAAAACAGATCGACGCTACGTAATAACAGTCAGCCGGCGACAGCTGGAGCTGCGAAGTTTTCCTGAACATTTTGCCTGCTTTTTGGAGCCACAGAACTGGACTACGCTCAACATTTTGCTTGGATTTTGGAGTTGCAAATCCAAACCACGCTTTGAGCAAGAAGGCTCTGTTGGACCGGAGTTGGAGAAGTTTAAACTGAGCAACAGCTTCCGCGGTGCGGGCGGAGGCGCTGAAAACTGCGTGAGAGCTTCTGTGGTGGCTGGCGTGAGGCGGCGGTTGCTCGTACCCCGCGGTGGCAATAGGCCGGAGCGGCGCTTGGCTGCGAGGGCCGTTCGAGGCTGCTTGCAGCTTTAATTATTATTATTATTCTTCCACCCAAATGAATTGGCTTTTTGAGGGCTTTATCATATTCAAAAACTCACCAAACTTGGCGGACGCGTAAAGGGAGTTTCAAAATTTTGTATTTTAAGGTCATTGCAAAAATCCCATAAGAAATGGCTCAATAGCGCCACCTAGAAATTTTCAAAGGACCCTTTGCTATTCACTTGCTTTATCCTAGAGACATGAAATTTGGTACACTTGTAGAGCTCCCCAAGATGCTCAAAATTTACAATTAATGTCATAGTGCAAGTATCACAGGAAGTCGGCCATTTTGGATTGAAGGTCCAATTTTGAGGCCATTTTTGCCGTTTACAGCCTCCGTATTTGATCGAACTCCTCCTAGGGATTTCGATTGATCGGCTTGAAACTCGGTCAGTCTGTTCATAAGGCATGTCCCATCTAAAGTTATCAAAATTGTGAGTTTTTCAATATGCTGAAGGGGCGTTAGCAGGGGTCAAAGTTCACCTACTCGCCGTAAAAAAATAAACTGCTATATCTCCTACACAGAAACTCACAGAGGCACCAAAGTTTCTATGATTGATCATCATCGGGTGTCCTACAATACCCTATGGTCGAATGATGACATCACTTTGGCCACTTCCCCTGAGAACAGGAAGTGTAATGTTTTACTGTGAACTTTCACTATCTGACCCCTTTGACCTCATCAACATGAAACTGTGCCCAGACACAGAAGACATGTTGGTGTATTGAGGATTCTAATCCCGACCAGCTACGATGGAGCAGGTGGGCGTGGCGGCATGGCGAAGTGACCTGTAACGCCATCGCCATACGTTTTGCTCTCAATTCCACAGTTTCGGTCCCAACTGCTCCAAACTCACAAGTATGGATCTTCATCCACTCCCCGACAGGAATCCGTCACAATATTTGGTGGGCGTGGCCTAATTTCTCTATAGCGCCCCTAGAAAACTTTAAATGATCAGCCCCAAGCCATGCTTTAACCTACAATTACGAAACTTTGTACACGTGTGTACCTTGTCAGGACTTACAAAAAAGTCTCTTGGAGCCATGGTCTAAACCCCACAGGAAGTCGGCCATTTTGGATTGAAGTTCGGATTTTGACCCATTTTTGCAGTTTGCAGCCTTCGTATTTGATCGAACTCCTCCCAGGGATTTCGATTGATCGGCTTCAAACTCGGTCAGTCTGTTCATAAGGCATGTCTCATCTAAAGTTATCAAAACGGTGAGTTTTTCAGTATGCTGAAGGGGGGCTGGCAGGGGTCAAAGTTCACCTACTCCCCATAAAAAATAAACTGCTATATCTCCTACACAGAAACTCACAGAGGCACCAAAGTTACTGTGATTGATCATCATCGGGTGTCCTACAATACCCTATGGTCGAATGATGACATCACTTAAGCCACGCCCCCTGAGAACAGGAAGTGTAATGTTTTACTGTTAACGGTCACTATCTCACCCCTTGACCTCATCAACATGAAACTGTGCCCAGATACAGAAGACATGTTGGTGTGTTGAGGATTCTAATCCCGACCAGCTACGATGGAGCAGGTGGGCGTGGTGGCGTGGCAAAGTGACCTCTAACGCCATCGCCATACGTTTGGCTCTCAATTCCACATTTCAGGCTCAGCTGCTCCAAACTCACAAGGATGGATCCTCATCCACTCCCTTACAGGAATCCATCACAATATTTGGTGGGCGTGGCATAATTTTTCTATAGCGCCCCCTAGAAACTTTTAAATGATCAGCCCCAAACCATGCTTTAACCTACAATTACGAAACTTTGTACACATGTGTACCATGTCAGGACTTACAAAAAAGTCTCTTGGAGCCATGGTCTAAACCCCACAGGAAGTCGGCCATTTTAGATTGAAGTTCAAATTTTGACCCCATTTTGGCGTTTATAAACCATTTCAGTAATTCGCCACTTGGGGTGAGTATTGCTCCACAAATGAAACAGCAGATAAACAGGATGAAGAACAATATCAATATTTCGCCAGTAGGTGTCAGTGTTCCTCCACCAATGCACGGGCGGATGAGCGTGAAAACTTTGTGAGAGCGTTGCCGTGACATTTCTAAAAGGATATAAATGTCTCACATAATTTTTGTTGAATTAAATCATGCAGTAAATGTAGCGTTTTCTTACTTCTTACAAACCATTTCAGTAATTCGCCACTCTGAGTAAGTATTACTCCAACAATGAAATAGAGTGCTTTAGAAACACAGCTGAAAATGATGAAAAATGACGAACTGTAGTACTTCGCCATGTGCATATGATCGGCTGTAAATGACACGTGGATCATCCGACTGACGCCAAATTGGATACGTATGACCTTTGTTGACCTCTAAAGAGAACAACAGCATTGAAATATATTTTGACTCCACTGCGCGTCCTACATTAATCCGCCAGCTATATTTCCTCGCTAAACCAATGAATCTGCACCACATTTTTTGCATCGTCAAGGAGCGCCTCCGAACGCATCAGTGCGTACCGCCTGGTGGACGGGCGCGGAAACTGCGCAACAACTTCTGTGTTAGCACGTGTCCAGCGTTGATGGAATCTGAGCAACAGCTTCCGCGGTGCGGGCGGAGGAGCTGAAAACTGCGTGAGAGCTTCTGTGGTGGCTGGCGTGAGGCGGCGGTTGCTCGTACCCCGCGGTGGCAATAGGCCGGAGCGGCGCTTGGCTGCGAGGGCCGTTCGAGGCTGCTTGCAGCTTTAATTTTGTTTCTTTTTGCTGCGGTTTGCAGAAAAATACTGTTAAACAAAACAAACAAAAAAAGGTTTCTTTTCTGTTATATAATTCGTCAACGCTGAAGCAGGAAACTATTAAACAGGGCAGTTGAGTTTCAACAAGAGTCTGATTGGATGGTTTTTGAATCTTCTGCAATAAAGGGCGGCTTTTTTACAAGAAACCAACACAGATCACCAAGGAGTCTCCTTCTGCACTTTTCAAACTGCTTTCAATAATTCATTGAGAGTAATGTACCGTTTGATAACTGGGATCAATTGGAATGTGATTGAATTAAAATATTTATTTTTTTTTTGACAAACTGCTTTGTGACGACATTTGTCACAACAAGTGGCGCTAAAGATGAACTGGATGGAAAACTTTCAGTTGAGAATCCGTGAAAAATTCAAACGTAGAACACAAGACAAAGAACAAAACACCAAAGATTTATTGAAACATACAGAAACAATAAATGACAGGCATCCAACCTTTGCCTACATCCAACAACCCAACATGCCACTACATGGGTAACACAATGTCTGCTCATTTAAGTGTTACGACTTTGAGGATTTCTTGTTGTCTTACTATGAGTGAATCAAAATGCAGCACAAAAAATCTAAAAGTTTCAAAGTTACTTGTGCATAAAGAGTTAAAAGTCTGTTCAAGGTCATCACAGTTTACATTTTTTAAGTTTAGTACAACTTAATGCAGTGGTTTTATTTCACGTACATAGAAATAAAACCAACCATGTTGTTGCATTTGTGTATATTTTCACACAGGCTTTTCTATTATCTGACATCTGCTGCTCTATCGCCTCCTCCTGTCACCAACATGAGAGTAATCTGATGGTGAGCAACTCTCTCATAAAAAAAAAAAAAAATGCTTTCACACACTGTAAACACACACCATGCAGACGAGGGCTGCCTACTTCAAATGAAAGGAAACTTTTGTTTTTTTGTAGCCCTATCCGGAATCAAGAAAGATACCGTAAAGGTTGATCATGCTGCTGAAAAGAAGACAGAGGATTCTGGGTGAAAATGTGAAATTAAACTTGAAATGTATCATTTACGCTATAATCGCACTTCTGGTGGTTGTTATAACAGGATGATGACAAATAACGGCTATTAACCGTTTGTGGTGCTCAATATGTGGGTTCAGTGCATCAGGTCCAGGAACCTCTGCAAAGTATTGATTTTGTGTGGTAACTCAAGAGTAGCTCATCTTCAGCATTAAAAAGCAGGTCTCTGTCTCTTTAAACACCTCTACTTTAAATTATTTCCCATTGTTAGGAAAATTAATGTGTCGGTTGGGCAGATACTGATTCTGCAAGCAGACTGTAGAGGCATCATCATTCAGTACATGATCATACATGTGGGAAAAATAAAAGTAATAATGACCCGATTCAATAAATACAAATCTAATCTGTAGTCTGTTAGCAGCGATATCAGTAGTGCATGAACTTCATTGCAAACCAGGATTCCTCATAGAAATATATGCTTGATATATTTAGAAGAGTCAGCGTGGCTGAATAGGTCTGAAAAAAAAAAACCCCATTGTCAGATCCAATTCATCTCATTTAAATTTGAAACCAAACAACCTCTCTCTAGGAATAAATGTGGTTTTTCTTATTCTGCAATTTAGATAAACAGGTATGACACATAAACACACTCCCTGAACAAGTTTAAAAATCCACCCATGTTTGCAAGAAAAATAAAAAATAAAAACCAAACCCAGACCCAGAACAAGAAGGCCTCCATACATATGTGATTCCAGGGGTTCTGTCAGATCAGCAGCTCCAGATGTGAAAGCAGTAGATCGACAGCTGAAGGTCTGGACATTCATCTGGTCTTCGTTCAAAACGTGCGTGATGTTGAGGTGTCCCAGCTCTGTTCAAGTCATTTCCTCGTCTGTTTCAAGAACATGTAGACATACGCCGTTGAAAGCGTCAAACAAGTTCAGCTCAGGATGCTTTACATCCTGATTTTCCATGACGACGACTCTTCAAACCTGTGGAAAGAAGAAAATAAAAGATCATTTGAAAGTTAGTGAGATGAAACTCATTCAGAACCTACAGCACTTTAATATTAAATAAAAACAAACAATAACATGCAAATAGAGAGAGAAGTACTCCAGTTTTAAATCTGTTTTTGTTGTGCTTTTCTGAATACTTCTATTCTGTTCTTGACTTGAATCAGCAGGGAAATCTTTCTGCCATTTTGTACATTTTCTATGTTTTGGTGGGTAAGAAACAACCAAGCAGAAAGTACAAAATACTGTTGTACACCTTCAACCATTTCATGCCAAAAACATGGCAGTTCATACCTTTTAGGAGGATCATACCTGCTTTGACAACCAATAACTTAAAAATCTTCTATATTTAGTGAAAAATAAGAATATTAGCATTTTAAGACCATTTATCCGTATAGCAGAGAAAAATATGAGGCCTTACGTCCAAATGAGGCTAAAAATTCAATCAAACCTTCTTACATTCACATATGTTATGTTATGACTACATATAGTCCTGTCTCTTCAAAGAAGGGTTTTGTGAAGAAACAGGACTAGATTTTGTTTCATTAGGCACTTACTTTCTTTGTCATGTGACGTGTTGACAGTTTGCTGAGACAATGTTTTTTGGTCCAGTTTAGAAAGCTTCTTATTCCCTTTGGTTGGGTTTACCACAACCACCGAGGCACCGTCTTCCAATTCATTGGGATGAGTCTCTGTCGGTGACGGACTCCCTGTATTTCTAACAGAAAGCTTACCCAGAGATTTTTTCCTCGAAAACTTCCAAGTTAAGCCTCTCTTTTTCCCCACAGATACTTTGTTTGGCATCTTGAAGTTCTCACTTGGGGCCTCTGAGGGCAACGGACTCTGCCCATCGAGCTTAAGACTGCTGGCCACTCGAGGCCTTCCCTCGTCTTCGCGAACATCTGCGAGATCCGGCTTCGTTCTTTCGTCATGCAGAGATCTTGCAGGAAGTGGAGAACCTCCGAACAGCAGCGAGTATTTGGGATTGTAGTACTTGTGGGCAGGAACCTGGATTTCAACGTTCCGAGAGTCTCCGAGGCTCACCTGGAAACGGGATGTGGTCGCTGGTAACGGGGGGCGTTTGGGCTCCAGTTTGGGGCGAATTGTGGCGGTCACCTTGGCAGCAGAGGGACTGACGTGAAACTCCTTGTAGAGGTCCAACTTCTCTGATATGGCGTACAGCTCACGGAAGTCTCTGTCGAAGACGTCCACCACCTGCCCCGTCATCACAGTGATCATGTTTCGGTCCATTCGGGAAGCAGACCAAGAGAAACTGGAACCGAGATGAGAATGAAGACAATCGTCAATGCTCTTCATCAACTCTGTAGCTTGAACTAGGTAATGTTAAGTTTAATGGGACCAAGCATTGCTGATAGAAGACTTTCTTTTACCTAAAACGCTCAGAGTAAGAAGAGACAACAAAGTGAGACATTGGTACCAAGTAAGATGTTACTTTAATAGCAACAACTATTTTTCTAACGTCTAAAATGAACAATGCGAGCGCACATTGGTAGTCCTGGAGGTTGTAAAGAGATATCATGGCATATTAAACCTTACAAAAAAGATTTTTTGGTTCATAATAATTAGGTGGTACAATGTAAGCCAATGTTTTTAATTCTGTATATGAAAAAAGCTGCTCTATGCTGGCATCTTTTAGCCTTTGGTTCTCCTTCCGAAACAATAAAAGAAAGACTTTTTGACCTGCCTTGCCTTGTTAGGTTGACACAGTGCTTTGTGCAAATTGACATTGCTGAACAGACATTGATAAATAACACAGAAAGAAATGTCACCCCTCCTTGAAATCATTTATTTTGTTTTGGACACATTAACAAGCGAGGTATGATATCAGCTGTGGTCAAATATTAATGCGAAAGCTGGAATGAATCAAGACTGCATTTCATTACCTCGACTTCAAAATCTAAACAACTCGAACTGATCCAACTTGATTACTGTTCTCAGTGGAGATACTTTAAAGCACATTTTGAGATTTTTGAAACATAAATTATGGGTAAAAAAAACAAAAAAGGGACTTTATTAATGCTCCTTTTGCATTGAGATTGAGATTAAAAATTACTCTACACCCATCAGGAATTTGTTAAAATAAAGTTTGTTATTTGTAAAATCTTCACGCAAGTTTTATTGCCCTAACTTGTATTGGGAATACATTTCAGGATAAGTATTTAGACATTTGAAATAGGTTAAATAAAAATGATTGTGTTTCATTGTCAATTTTTGGTTTATAGAGGACACAATGAATTAAAAGCATAAAGAAATCTGGATCTGACTGCCTTTCTTTAGACTGAATATCTTTTACTTTTTTATTGTGCGGTATAAAACAAACACTCTTACCTGTAAGAGCCAAATGCTACTTTGTCTCCGTCCACCAGCATGTATTTACTAAAAAGCGATCCGGGGAGTCTACCGAAGGACATATTGAAGCCAACTCCTTGAAGCGATCGTGCTCGGATGAACTGCAAGTTAAGAGATGGTTATAACATGCGTGACGTTTTAAAGCAAAATCAAACTGCAAATAGAACAATATAAAGCATCATTCATAATAAAATAAGACATTCATTTCAGTGATGCGTTGATTTCTTCAGTCTTTTAGAATTTCCTTTATGTTTTTTTACAACCACTCCATGTTTTACTTGTTAAACATTAACAAAAAGGATGAAAGAGAAATAAACTGACTTACTGGACCTAATGCAAGTAAAATATTTTGGGGAATTTTTTTCAAAGATTCAGCTCTTTCGGCTCGACTCTTTTGAAATGCGCGGGCCCAACATGACTTTCATATTGTTTCACAGAATTTTATTTTAGCCTGATCTGGTAAATATGAATGCTTTGTGTGTTTTTATTCTGTATTTGAGAAAGAAATGCAACAACTTATTTTTCTGTATTTTTGGTGGCAAAAAAATAGTTGCTATTGTTCAAAAATGTAATAAACATTTGAAGGAAACTGCGTTTTTAGTTTCAGTTTGCAGCAGAATGACAGACAAATTCAGTTTCTTTTTCTGTCTTCTTTTCCTCTCGATGCTCTCACAGTTAAATCCAGATACCTGTCTCACTCATCCTATTGAAAATCTACCCTTTTCATTTTTTCTTACACGTTATGACTCTTGTCTGCCTTTGCGAGCAATTAGCAGCCTCTTGTGGCCACCAAAAGCAGTGCTTATGAATTCTCAGCAGCAGCTCTGGTGAAGTAGAAATGAAGTCACCAAATTTCCTCAGAAAGTTCTCAGAGTTTTGGCAGTGACATCAACAAACACCTTGGTAAGTTTGATTTAACCTCGTCACTTTCATCTTTCAAAATTAAGTTGAATTTCTATAAAAATCAGTCAAAACCTATTTTTTTATTTATTTATTTTTTAATTTAAAATGATGCCTATGTAAAAGTGCTGACTAACCCGGAGGTGCTGCGAGCCAATCTGAAGCCTGGAACACATGTCCAGGAAGTGAGGAACAGCTTGGTCGTCCAACACAATGTAAACAGGCACAGACCGACAGCAAGCTGCATCCATCAGGTCCTGCAGGATGTGGATGTCTGTCAGCATGTCCATCACTATGGCGATGACCTGCAGACAGAGAGAGAGAGAAAGTCCAATAGTCTGTGGATCTGAGTTGTTGCAACTGATACATTTTCTCTAGAAACCCAGTGTGAAATCGGTGGGTGTTGCATTTGATTAAGTCTGTTAAAAAAAACAACAATTAAATAGGAAACAAAGATTTCTGGGGTTACTATTTGTGCTCTAATTAAACTGTAAAACCTAATAAGCTTTCAGACACATTGCCAAAAGATTTAAAAAGAGAAAAAAAAAATAATCAAAAGATTCAGACTTAAATTTTGCTCACTTCTTCGGCCCACATCCAGAACCCCACCTTCTGACTACAGAGGGAAAAACTGAAGATCTGGATGGTGACCAACGGGAGGCTGCCATAGAAACCGTGTGGTGAAGCTGACGGTTCTCAGCCAAAATCCCTGAAACACACTGATGCTTTTCCTGCTTCGATAAAGTGCTGTAAAGACCCTTCGAGTTGTTTTTTTCCCCAAACAGCTCAAGAGTAGAAATTGTGACATGAGTAAAAATTAGATGCGTAAATATGTATAATGTGGAACATATTTGGATGAGACAGTTGAGGGTGAGATTTAATCGTCTTCTTCCTTCTCCGTTTTGAATCTGATATTGAAGTCTTGTTTTTGTTTTTATGTATAATTATTATCGCGATATATAATTTTTTTTGTTTTCTCATTTTCCCTGATATTTCATTTGTTCAAAGTAAAGATTTAAACCGCACACTTCCTTCTGCTGGTTTCTTTTATACCAATGCTGAAGATGAATAAACAAAACTATTTGAAGTCTTAAATCCATCTGTTGTGTAAAAACCATGTGCCTTCTTTTCTATAAGGATTGTAATAACTACAGGTTTAGCGTTCACCCACTAAATCGTACATAGATGGTTAGAAGTTACAATACGCAGCAAGTATCCATTAAAATAAAAGCTTCAAAAACAAGCAAAAGTAGCTTTAAGGCATGTTTGAACATGCTCCGCACAAGCTAGCAGGAAAAGAGCAGGAGACAAGTGAAGTCACTGAAAAGATTTCCCTTTAAATGCCAGTGATTTATTTATTTTTTTTCTGTTTGGGAGAAAAGGCCTGCTGGTTTCAAAGGAAACTCAAAGGAAAAATGCTGAGCAGGCTTCATTAAGGGTAATAAGTCGAGCAACAAGTTACGGCCTGCAGACAGTTGCCCTTTATCGTTTGCAATCAAACAAACAAAACACGTACAAGAGAAATAAATAGAATAAAGTTATGTTCATGTAGTTCTTACAAATACGTACTTTGATTCTATATCACTTTTAAGTGTGTGTGTTATCTGTTGCTAGGTCAAAATGATGCTGATTGGCTTAGTTTTTGGCAGGTTTCAACAGAAACTTACAAGTTTCTATTTCTCTATTTTTCATTGGGAAAACGTATTTTCACAGCAAACACCTTATGGTGTTACTAAAAGCCTTAGTAAACTTTAAGGCTGTTGAAAAACATTTTAATACCATTATGGATTAAATTTAAGACCTGTATCGTGACAGAAATCTATAAAATAAAACATCGTATTTTATACAGCAGCAGCGCCAAGCTTTTTCTTTTTCAAACAGAATTCACATAGCGTCGTTTGGTTGGCAACAGTAAGAACGCACCAGATTATTCTTCCCAGGTTACAACCAAAAGTTATAATTAAAACTTTGAATCAGTTGTTACAGAACAATACATGACATTAACAGTCACTGTCTATATATCAAGCCTTACCACTCAGAAAACCAGTAATATGTTGTTATTTTCAACCAGGAAGTTGTCAAAGAAACAATTGTAAGAATGTCAGCAAGCAAGTCAGAACCACTGAGGCAAGTAAAGTGAAAGCCGAACGGGCACATGACGTCGCATCAGATGAAATGGGGATGAAGACAAAGGAAACAAGACAGGGAGGGGAACTCAAAAGTGTTCCGTGAAAATGTGGAGATAAGCTGGGTAATAAAACAAGAAAAACTAAAAAACCGTAAATCAGGGTTTCATTCTCCTGACCCACTTTTACAGAGGAGAGCTGAGGCACAGCCTCTGAAGAGGAACGGATGACTCAGCTCAGGACCCGGCGCTGAATGAGCAAACACCACAGCTGCCTGTTGCATGGTTACGCTCATTCAGGTCCAAAGTTACAATGTTACAATCACTCAAAGCTAAAGTTTACACCTACACATATGAAGGACAGTACGATTTTCAGATATGGGTGTATCCTGCTGGATTTTTCCTCTTACCATTCTAACTAAATGTTTTAGGGAAAAAAAATGACTGGGAAAAGAGTTCAGTCAACTGAGCTACAAGGTTTGTTTGAATACAATGTTCGACTGTGTTATATTTCTAAGTCCCTTTAAGTTTCAGGCTTGACGTTGGATTATTTGTGCCAGGACAGTCACACAATACTCTCTTTTGCCCCACTGACTCACAAAAGGAATAAGAAAGTCCCATGATTCAAGTTGTAAAAAAGGTGATGTCATTTCCTGTAAATCATATAAAAGTTTCCTTGTTATTGTTAAAGACACCCCCATGTTTGGACTTAATTTCTAACACTTTGGCATTAAAAGCATTTGCTCTCACTTAATGAATTACTTTGTAATATATGTATTAGCTAAGAAATATTTCGTTAATATTAATTTGCCTTTCATTATTTAAAAGTGACTAAAACCTGAAGAATGCTTCAAGGTCCATGATCCATGCTGAAAAAACAACACAAAAACAAACAAACAAAAACACACCATACATTAACTTTTGGGGTAGTGTTTAGAGGATGAGACTATTTCAACAAATAAAAACAAAAACAATATGAAAGACAAACAAAACTTTTGTTCGGAGGGAACTAAAGCTCAAACTGCAGCATCTGTGTTCTGTTCATTGCACATCTGCTTCTAATGGGTTTCCATCTTTTTCTTGACGTATATGGGGAATGTAAAAAGCTGCATTTTTTTTTCTTTTTGCTTTGCGTCATTACGTCAAACGAATTATCCGCTTGTCATAAATGAAATAACCAGGCGATGCGAGCCCATTTGTTCGGGTCCTCACCTTGCTCGCCTCCTGGATGAGCCGCCGCACCACCTCCTTGATGTGCGGTCCGTTGTCTTTGGGTGGGTGGGTGTGCACGGCCACCCGGGTCACCCCTTTGAAGAGCCCCCCGCTGGGCCAGCCGATGTCCAGCGTCGGGACCTCGGTGTCCGACATCACTGGCCAGTAGGTGGAATGAACCCCTGAGTCTGCGTCGGTCCCAGCGGCTCCCTGTTCCGCCGGCTTGCTGCTGCTGCTGGTGTCGTTACAGTTATATTGTTTGAAAGTGCTCACGAGAACTTTAACTTCCCTCGCGGATAAAAAGTCTGTGACGTTGTCTTCCTTGAGCCGCGTCTTGAAGGCGCCGTCGCCATTCTTCAGCAGCTCCTCGACCGCAGCACGCTGCTCTTCGCTGTAGTAGAACTCCGGCTTGGACTCCGGGACTTTGACACCGATGTGCCCGTCCTCCATGCACATGAGCTGGGACTCAGCCATGGCTACGGAAGCCCTGACACCCCCAGGGAGGTCAAACTACCTCCCCCAGGCCCCTGCTCCACTGACTGGGTCTTCAGAGTGCTCGCCCGTGCGACCGCACAGGTGAAAAAAATAAATAAACATAAAGCTGGGAAGTTTTCTTACCTGACCCCGTGCGTGAGAGGTGGGGCGGACTGTGGTGCTTTCAAGTGCTAATGGAAAAAAGAGAACTATCCTACAGTACAACTATTTGAGTCAAATACGTCTTCTTTAGGATGGTCTAAAAAACTGCTGTTGTGTTGTACTGGGAATAATTATATTGATTAAAAAATCAATATAATTAGAGGATATATAACGAGGATAAATATGTATTACTTATCCTCGTTCTACACTTTCTCGCTTATATATATATATATAATATATATATATATATATATATATATATATATATATATATATATATATATAATATATATATATATATATTTCTATAGGCTACTCTGATAAAAGAGTGGGTGTACCTGAAGACGTAAAGTTTAATGAACCAGGTGTCCCTGAAGAGGGTTGCCCAAAGCCTTGAGTCTATTTCTTTCCTTTTCGTGGGGGAACATATTGCTCTCGTGATCTGGTCCTGTCCCAAAAAAACAGCCCAGCTCGCCTCTGTGCTAAAATAACAAGGCGGCATTTATGTGCGTCAAAAAGGATATATTTATACCGCAACGCATAATAACCAACTTGAAGTGTTTCACAGCATAAATCCTGTGTAAACAGAACAAAGAGTGCTCTGCTCGTTCCGCTTGGAAATTCATTTTATTATCGGGGAATTGCCAAAGCAAGCAAAAGTTGTTTCCTCTGCACGTGTGTGGTTCATACATTTGGGGCAGTGTTCCATATCATTTGTACTTTCAAAATATTTTTCTCAAAACTAACCTTACATTTCAGGAAAAAACAAACAAACCCAGAGAGAACTGACAAATACTGACAAATACTTAGTTTGTTTGACTCTTAATGCGTTGAACTGGGTGAGGGCGGGGCTCACATCAAACAAGCCCAGTGGGTTTTTTTCGCGCGTTGTCCACGTTATTTTTTTAACTGGATCGCGCGCCACATTCCACTCAAAACTGGATGATTTGGAAGGAGCTCGTGCAGAGCGTATAATCCCTCCGTGAGCGTTTGTTTTCTGAGAACGGCTGCGTCACCAAAACGTGGTGACGTGTTAAAAGAAACACGCTCACGCGAGCTTTCACAGGCGCGGCGATAATAGCTTCACAAACCGCGACGGACTTCACGTTTCATTGAATTTGGACCTTCTGTCGTGTCCGAATCGCTTACCGTGCGTCACGCCGTGACGTAACATACTTTCTTCTGCGCGCGTTTGAAATGCATTTCAAGAGCTGTCTGAAGGGAAGTGACAAATTCCTGCTTTTTGTTTGCTGGTTGGAGACACACCCTCACCTGCAGCACGCAGTGACACTTGCGCTCAATAAATAAAATACAATAAATAAATAAAAAAAAGACAGCACACACAAACACACACAACACTGGGCTTTTAAACAATACCAAAGCTTTACGAAATATCTAATTGACTAATCGATAGTCTCGCAAATACCCGCATTATTGGTCTGAGTTTTAGACACATTTTACACTTTGCTAAAGGAAATAGGCTACATATATTTTTTTTCCCCCACAAGCCCCGCCCACCTGATATTTGTTGGAACTGATCGTGGGTTCTCTGGTAGTGAGGAGGAACCTGCTGCACGATTCATGTCCCGTCCTGCTCCACGGAGCTTCACCAACATTATTCCAACATTTCCCTGGAATAATGTTGGATTCTCGCCAATAGGCCTATAGCATGTCACCTGATCAAACAACATTATTCTTGACGTCCTCATTCTTTCCAGCAGCAGTTAACAAACACCCGAGGTTATTATGCTGGCTGCTTCTGGTTCTTTGTGTGACTATTAATATAATTATTGATTTTCTTTTTGTTTTTTTCCCTTGAAACTCTAAATTCAAACGGGAAACATAATCAGACTTTATCTTTGCTTTGCTGCTCCCTTTCTAAAAACATCTAACATGCAAACTCACCTAATAGTGACTTTTGTGAGTAGTTGTGGTGGACGAGAGTAGAAGATTAGCAGGCGGCTTAAAAAAAAAAATATATATATATATGAAAGAGCTAATTACAGAGCGACAAAAAAAAAAAAACACCCACAGAGACGGAAAGAAAACGAGAGGATTTAGAATTGCAAAACATAAATGAACACACTACCACCATTAGCCCCTGTTTCTTTCTTCTTCTGTCACTCCCTGTGATATTCTCAGCCGGTCTCAGTGGTCGGTCTTGCATGAATGCTTGAATCGCAGTGTGGGGTACAGTGGGGATTTTATCCTGTGGCTAGGCTGAAAAGCAAATGTGCTTTACAACTCAATAACTAACTAAATATAACCGACTGAACACACGGTCCAACAAATAAAGCTTGCGCCAAAGAATTTCTCAGAGAACTGACAAAATGACTCATGTACCCTTTTGTATGGTAGCACATTCTACCTTTTTGTAGCAGTTGCCAAGGTGACATACAACTGTACCAGAGATTAATTTATTGTTATTCACCAATTGTGCAGGAGTAACTACTCATATTCTGCTCTGTTATATCTGGTTAGAAGAATCCATGACATAATATTTACTATGTTTATAGGTTTGGGCCAATTAAAGGTTCAGTTTTATCACATCATAAAGCTAAGTCCCAACAGGTGTGATGGTCCGACCAGCAAACTCAAGGACAAAGGCATAAAAAAATAACTATTTAATTTTTCAAAGAGTTAAAGATTTTTTTACAACAAATTTCAAAAAGAAATATAAGAAAAATGGGCCCAAAAAATAATCAACTAAAGCATACCAACTCAAACAAAACTAACTGACTCTTCTCAATGAACACACAGGGGAATTTATATACAAAGGCTAGCCTACACACACACACAAGGAGGGGTGGGGGAACAAACAAAACAACCAATACATAAACATAAATAAATTCAAATCACAACATTTTACTTTAACACAACTATAAAACAAAACAACCTAACACCATAAATATTATAACAATAGAGTGAGAGGAAGATGTCAATAGGGCGAGAGGAGGAGTCTTCCACATCAAATTCCCTGCTTCCCGCAGCCTGATGGTTGGTTCCAATTACTGGTTTGAGACAATCAACTCCTCCCAGCCAGTCCTTCAACTCAACCAAAAACAAAATAATTAATATTCTAAATAAACCAAGCGTTTACTAAAATGTGCACCCAATCTAGTAAACAACTTAATACCAAAACCCACCAAAGAAAAAGTGATATAACCAATATAAATATTATCAATATAAAACATTAACTAAATACTAACACTAAAGAAAAGAACACTTAAACTGAGAAGATGGAGGAACCTCCACACACTCCCCTCTTCTGGAAACTCCATGGGCCAGTGTGACAGGTAGTCGGCAGTCGTGTTCAGCTTCCCCGGGATGTGATGAACGTCAAACTGGAATGGTTGCATTGCCAGGTACCAGCGGGTGATATGGGGTGGTTCTCAGTCCCTGATTTGCTCTTCTCCACTGGACCCACAACATCCATGCCCAAACGGTCAAATGGTGTATTTATAATAGGAAGGGGTTGAAGAGGAGCTCTCGCTGCAAATCTGGTGGATGTTTTCTGACATTGAGGACAACTCCTGCAAAAGCTGGCAACATCTTTGTGTAATCCAGGCCAGTAGAAACACCGTTGGATTCGGGCTATGGTTTTATGTTTTCCCAGGTGGCCAGCCCAGGGAATTGCATGGCCCAAAATTAATACTGTTTTTCTGACCTTTCTGGGCAACACCAGTTGTTGTACATCTCCATGTCTCCTATAGAGGATGCCATTTTGCATATGAAATTCCTCTGCAGCTCCACCTGCTGCTTCAACCCTCTTAATAAGGTCAGTCAGACTTCCATCCTGGTGCTGCAGCTCACTAATATTATCAGGAATTTCAAAGTCTAACTGCACCTCAGGTTCAGGTAACACAGGAAGGGCTGTGGTATGTTTGAATTTTTCTCGCTTGCGCTGTGCACGAGACTTGCGTTCCTTAGTTTGACCTTCTTCAATCTCAGCCCCAAAAAATGGCAAGGCTCTTAGACTGGACTCATCTTCCCCAAAAGTCTTTGCTTGGGATCGTGTCAATACAACATTACACATTTTAAAACCATTCACTAGGTCAGGGAGAATTGGAAGATCATTTCCCAAGACAACAGGAAAGGGTAATGCATCCATAACACCCACCTTTAACAGGTAAACATGTCCTTGCACTCTCATGTAAATATCTGCTGTTGGATATTGTTTTTCATCCCCATGGACACAGCAGATGGGTATGGTTTCAGAGGTGCAAATAATATGCGGTGGGACATACCTGCGGTGTACCAATGTCTGGGTGCTTCCTGTGTCAATCAGGGCTTTGACCTTTTGCCCCTCTATCTCCACTGTAGTCTCCATCAGTGGCTGGTTTTGTCTGTTCAAAACATGGTTCTCTCTGGGAACAAAACACATCTGAGAGAGGTTTGCAGGATTTTGAGGACACATAGGCTTTGTGTGGCCCTCCTGGCCACATAGATAGCAGATGGGTTTTTTCAAAGTTTTTGTTTGACCGGGGAAAAACCTTTTTCTATTCCAAACTGCTTACTCACATTTTCAGTTCGACTGGAGTTACCTGAAGTTGGAGTAAACTCCCTTTTTGCAGTTCTAAAAGCCCACGGTTGAGTCTTCCTACGGGCGGCCACAAGGCATCCGCGAGGGAAACTGCCTCGGCTGCATTTTTGGGGTTTCGTTCCTTAATCCAAACTTGGAGTTCTGGGGACAACATTCGGAAATACTGTTCAAGAATTATGACGTCATTTATCTCTTCAACAGTCTTACCTCGGGGTTGAACCCATTTGCCATACAGTTCTTTAAGTCTCACATAAAGTTCCTTGGGAGACTCATTCGGTTCCACATGAAGAGAACGGAACCTCTGACGATAAGTCTCGCTGTTAATTTCATATTTCTGTAAAATAGCAGCTTTAACATTATCATAGTTCATCGATTCCTCCATATCCATATGTACATATGCACTCCTGGCTTTACCAGTCAATAGCGGAATCAATTGAAATGCCCAGTCACTTTTTGGCCATCTGCAAACACATGCTATCCTCTCAAAAGTTATGAGGAAATGCTCAATATCATCCTCCTCACTTAGCTTTTGCAGTTTTGGTTCTTTATAGAAATGTGTAGAAATTGAATCACCTGATTTAACAGCCGACAGAGCAGGTTCTGGAAGTGAACTATCCACATCAGGCTTCAATCCAACAGATGAGGAGGCGTGGTCTTGCACAATAGGCTTCAGGCCTGCAGAAGACTGGGCCTGAAACTCCTCTTGAAATAAACTGAACTGGTGTTGGAGAGCCTTAAACCTGTAATCCTGACGTGACATTTCTTGCTCCCACTGTGCCTCTCGATCTGCCCAATGTAGGCCTGCAGGATTCCTGCCAAGTCAGATATGGTTGGCTCTTTCCCTTCTTCATCCACTTCCTCCTCTTCACAAACTGCACCACACCCTTCATGCTCTGTTTGCACTTCTTTGTCTGATGGAGCTGCCTTGGTTTTACCACCTCCACCTCTGGCTCCTCTCATGGTTTAGGGTTTTTTTAGTTTCCAAAAAAAAAAAGAAAAAATTAAAGCTGCAAGCAGCCTCGAGCGGCCCTCGCAGCCAAGCGCCGCTCCGGCCTATTGCCACCGCAGGGTACTAGCAACCGCCGCCTGACGCCAGCCACCACAGATACTCTCACGCGGTTTTCAGCACCTCCGCCCGCACCGCGGAAACTGTTGCTTCGTTTCCATCAACGCTCCCCACGTTCTAACACAGAAGTCGTTGCGCGGTTTCCGCGCCCGTCCACCAGGCGGTACGCATCGATGCGTTCGGCGGCACTTCCTGACGACGCACAAAAAATGTGGTGCAGATTCGTTGATATAGCGAGGAGATATAGCTGGCGTATTAATGTAGTTGGCGCAGTGGAGTCAAAATACATTTCAATGTTGTTGGGTGTTTAGAGGTCAACAAAGGTCATACATATTCAATTTGGCGCCAGTCGGATGATCAACGTATCATTTAGAGCCGATCATATGCACGTGGCGAAGAACTGCAGTTCGTCATTTCTACACCCCAATGCGGTTTGGTCAGCTGCCAGCATTCACAGAGTTCATCATGTTATCGTTTTTAGTAAGTATTCACATGATGAAACCCATATATATGATAGAATAACAGTAAAACTCACAGGAGAAAAAACTGGTGATTGCCTTTGAAAAGTGGGCGGGGCTAGGGTGATTTCATTAAGTTACCATGGAAATGTGTTCAGGACTGTTCTATAGAGAAACACAGGAAGTGTGATGCAGCTGTGATCTTGCATTTGGAAGTTTTTTTAATGTTTATGTTTCATGGCAAATAGTGAAAGTTTTACACTAAGCCACACCCACATGCTTTGATGTTAACTGCAACTGAGATCTAAATGCAGTGCAACTTTAACATTTTCCTAAAATGAGTCAGGAAAATGGTAAAGGTTAAGATGTATCAGTTTAATAAACCCTTCTGGTCAGTAATAAACAAAGGGCAATGCACATTCAGAGAGCACAGTTAACTTTCAGTACATTAGAACAAAAGCACAGGTTAATCCCTCTCAATAATTAGGTATTAATCACAGCAAGTGGTCCAAGTAAATATTACAACCCCAATGGATCAGTCTTAGAACTCAGAACGTTGTAAGATTGTCGCTCCCAACAATCGTAACCGATCATCCTGTAGTGTGTGGTGTGTTACGACTGATCGAGTTCAGTCGGTGGAACGTCGGACCGCTTTCATCTAAAATCGGGGATATTGACTGTCTTTAATCATCTTTGCTCATTCATCCAATCTCTGTGGTGTTCCTCCGACTTTTTTTATCTTTTAATGAAAGATAATTATAAAATTATTGCACAGAGTACATCTGGTTGAAAAGCGCATTCCAATCTTTGGTTGAAATGGCGCATTTGATTTTATTCTGCAGTCATAATACAATTTTAAACAATATAATAAGTTTCAATTAAAGGATCTGGAATAGGCTACGTTAAGCTTTCGCGGTCAGTTGGGGGGGAAAAGGATAACTCCCATTTGATTTTCTAAAAATGAATATGCAGGAAATGCTTTCTACTACCTTAAACTGCTCTGATGTTTCAGTTATTCTGTTTTAAATGCATAGATTCTACAACAACATAAACACAGCAAAAAATTATAAAATTGTACGTAAACGATTAATTAAATGACAAAAACCGAAAACTTCAAAAACAATATTTTTTATGAAAAAAAAAAAAAACTCACCTCCATGTTGCGATTCAACTAATATAATCCTTGCTTACGATATCTCCAGATCTTAATCCAAAGCTTTGATTTTTGGTTACGTCTTTTTTGGGTTAAAATAAGTCCGCAAACTAAAGTTACCACTTCAACGTCGTTGTCCATGTTTGTTTGTTTACTCCAAATTCAGCTGTGGTAGCGCAGAATTTTAATTTGAAGGTATTTCGTAGCTGGAATTAGAATGTGTTCGAGTGAAACCTCACACTCTACGATCGAACCCGTTACACCTACGATTTTAAATAGGCTAGTGTGTGTTCTGTCACGTTTTAAGAATCGGCCCACTTTTCTAAAATTGTGTAGTGTGAACTTGGCTTCACTCACCGCATCTCCAGTTACCACTTTTTAGACGAACAGCAATAAAACTCCTCTCCAACAGTCCGTTTCGGCTCACGAACGTGCTGGGTCTGCAGCTCCAAAAACGTTAGCGTGCTCCGGTTTTGTGGCTCCATAAACCATGCAAAATGTTCATGAAAACTTAGCTGCTCCAACAGTTTAGCAAAAAATGTACAGTCCACAGCGTAATGCGCCGAACCTCGGTCTCCGGCCGACTGCCAGTACGTACAGTGCAGTTCTTCACAACCAATCAAATTGCTTAAATTTGTTTTTGCCCTTGACTGACGAGTAAGGCACAGACGAGGGAATTGATGCATTTACTTGCTGTAGTAAATAACAGTTATTAACAAAACGCTACATTTACTCCGTGTTTTAAGCCAACACAAATTATCTGGGGGCTTTCATATAACATTTCAGGTTATATTTAACCGCTATCCTTTTGAAAATGTCACGGCAGACGCTCTCGTAAAGTTTTCACCCCCTGTCGATCTGTTTTTGTCATTGGTGGATTAACACTGACCCCTACTGGCGAAATACTGATATTGTTCTTCATCCTGTTTATCCGCTGTTTCGTTGGTGGAGCTATACTGACCCCAAGTGGCGAATTACTGAAATGGTTTATGAACAGTTCTATAGAATTACGTTTTCTTTTATTTCTAGGCAAAATTAATGAATGTTTGTACTCTAACCCACAAAAAAAAAAACTAAAAAAAGAAAACTTATAATTATGTATATTTAAATAATTAATATGTTAAACGGCATAACAACCTATATTTAATGGGCTTCTGTTTTCCATGGGGCGCTAGACAGAAATTAGGCCACGCCGTTCAAATATTGTGATGGATTTCTGTTGGCGAGTGGATGAGGATCCATCCTTGTGAGTTTGGAGCAGCTGTGCCCGAAAATGTGGAATTGAGAGCCAAACGTATGGCGATGGCCTTACAGGTCACTTTTCCATTACTGGCGAAATACTAGTATAGTTATTCATCATATGCTTAAGCAGCCACACGCCATTGCAGAAGCTTTCATGCCGTTTCTGCACCTATCCACCAGGCGATATGCTTCGATGCGTTTTGCAGTGCTTCCCCACAATATATCAAAAATTTTATGCAGATCTGCTGATGTATCCAGGAGATGTAGCTCATCGATTAATCTTGGTGGTGCTTTGTATTAAAACACATCCAAAGCCGTCTTAATTTCTTCATAGAGTTTACTTGTACAACAACAAAAAACCAATAACATTAACTTCAAACATAAGTGAAATATTTCCATTGTGCTTATTTCACTGAAATACGCTTCTTAACTGTGTGGAACAAATTATATTTTTCTCAGTAGCAAGTCCTGTCAATTTCAAAATAAAATAGAATGAAATTTATATTCGAAATAATTCTTTCAGTGTCCTTTATAGAGAAAAAAGAAAGGTAAAGAAGCTTGGTACACAGTAAAAATGCCAGGTGTAGTGTCAAATAAAGAGTGTGAGTGTTGTTTTGACACCACACAGCATTAAATGAACATTGCCAGAATAAATTCCGTATATTTGCGTTGTTAAATTCCAGTGTTAATTGGTTGGTGTTGCTTAAGCCCCGCCTTCGCATAACGGGTGCAGAGCACGTGCTACTTTCTTTCATCGCGCCACCAGTCAGTCTCTCAGTATGGCTACATTTCTTACACGAAGGACACAATTCTTTCCTAAAGGTGAGTTAAATATTCGTAGTGAAACATTGTTTCGTTGGAAATGTGGTTTTTAGTTTGAGACTTGAAAGAGTGTACGATATTTAACCCATTTTGAATGGGAAATCCACCATATTCAAGCTCCCGTCGTTTTGTCATATCTAGGTGAATGGTAAATTTGAAATCTGTTATATTTGGTAAGGTCTAGTTGTTATTTTAAACCATGGATAAGACTTCTATATCTGTATTATTTGAAATATTGGTGACGTGTGTATCTAAACAGCTAACTTAGCAAATGGTTTTTGGATGGTATTTTTTCTTCTGTTAGTTTGAGCAGGACTTCATCATGCTATTTGGAGAAGACATCTCAGGGAAGTTTATTGCAAGATGGCCAATGTTCTACAAACCCAAGATCATTACTGTCAGCAAAAGCATTCGACAGAGCATTCACCTGGATGACCTTCTGTCTGCTCAGGAGTAATCAAGTGATTATGGTATGTATTAATATATAAATATGTTCAACTGTCTTTTCTATATTTACATTGTAATCATGGCTTGTTCTGATTTTATCAGAATGGGATAGCGACTTAGCAGCCATTCTCCTGCTGGTTCATCTCTTGCCTCCAACCGCCAAAGGGAAGAAACATGTCAAAATTAGTGCAACTGAGGCAGCTGATCGTTTTGTGAGGCTCATGAAGGTATGTTTTTGACATGAATTAATGGGCTTCACTTACCGTAAATTGATCTCATTTTTACAAGACTGTAAATGTAAAGTCGTTATTTGGCATTATTTGTATTATAATTTTATAGTTATTTTTTAAAGTTATGGGTGAGATGAGGGTTAATTTTATTACAACATAGAATAGAAAATTGGTTATGGGAAAATAATGGCACAAAGAATTGTATGAGCCATTAGAACTGCTCTTTTCACTTAAGCTCACAGGAGTTTCCTTGCAAGTCACATCCTCTTTCGTGGCATGCTCACAGCTAAAGGAAGGTGGAAATGTTAATTTGTTGCTAGTGAGGGACTAACACCATTATTTCTAATGTGATGTCTTTTAATATTAGGTGGGGACAAGCATGGTGACATTCCTTGACAAAGTTGGATCTGCACAGCCCTTCCTCCTCTGCGTTGGAGAGAAGAAGAGCTGTATTCAGAAGTTCTACATCATCCTTGATAAGAAGCCCATTCCTTGTGTGGTACAGAGGGACAAATGGCTGCCTTCGATGAACTTTTTAAGGCGCACTTTGTGTTTGCTGTGTCCTACAATGTAACTCTTCTCAACTTCTACACATTCATCCAAACAACAGTTTATGGGATTGATGCATCAACAACAAAGGAGAGCCCCAGAGTCAATGAAATCAGAGTGACAATTAACAACACTTAAATATGCCAACATGCAACATTTATAAGGTTCAGCACAGGAATTCTTCAACTTTTGTATGAGCTGTGCATTAAAGGTCTGTAATACTTAAATGGGTTTAATAAAATTTGAACTTTCCATTTCTGTGTATTGTTTTTAATATTTTTTAGCAGTGAATTTGGTTGATATTCACACTTTGTGGGGTCAATTATTTACCTTTTTAACACGACATAATGTGTTGAGGTTAACACTACACTGGTGTTACTTTTAACATTATATTTTAACACTAACACTGTTGTAATGTTAATGTGACCCTCAGTATTGTTGAATATTAACAATATCTGGTGTTAATTTAACAAAAAATGGTTGTCAACCTTTTAACATTTTGAAAAGTGTTACTTTAACACCAGCTGACTTGGACACATATAGATACTTTGTTAGTGTTACAATTAACACTGTGGTTGCTAATTCAGTACTGACATTTTTACTGTGTAGAAAAAACGAAAAAACATTCATATAGGGCTCTATATTTATGTCTCTGTAATGCATTCGAAAAACATGGATGAAAGAGATTCAATCTTACTAGTATTATAACCCAGAATGACGATGGCAGAGTAATATTGGCCACAATATTGCAGTAGCAGGTAAACATCATATCTCAGGCATAAAGAAGTCAGGTGATATGCAGAAGGTAGGCATAGAAAATCTGCAGATGTATTTTGTTTTGTTTCATTTATTTCAGGTCAATGTATAAGAAGTGGTGTGTAATATACATTGTAGTACTTTTGGAATATATATAATTGCTGAATTATGAAGAGTCACCTGCAAAAGTGGTAAAATACTTCTTTTAAAGGTAAGAATTTTTGATTTCCAATCATATATAATTATTGATTAGAAAGTATCAATGTTTCTTTTTTGTCAGTAATTTTAAATTTATATGTTTTATAATTTTGTAAAAATATAACTGTTATAATTATAAGGATAAACGCTTAAATGGGCGTTATCAATAAAATAACTTCTGTCGTCCATCACCACATTTATCCAGTTAAATTTTTGAAGAAGGGTGGGCATTTCTGTTAGTACCGCCCATTTCAGCTTTTTTCTTATATATAGGCTAGTCAGTTGCTTTTCGGACATTTTGTCTTCCTCTACCAGAGATAAAGAAGTAGGTATTTTATGCTATTTGTTGATTGATTTTTAATTGTGTTTTCTCTTTATAAAGTTGTTAACTATATGTTTTGTGCTTTGTAGAACATGGCAGACTCCCCACATAAGCTCCCTCAATTGAGCGACCCTGAGCTGAAAGGCCTGCAGAAGGCGGCCCAGCTTGCTTGTGTAAGTATATTAGTTGGTAACTAATTTTAAAAAGTATTTTGTTTGGAAGTTCCTCTCTGAGGTTGTATAGTTTTAAGTAGTTGGAATTATGCTAATTTTTTTTGGATATAAAAGCATAGTTGTGAAGTTTTAGTTTAGAAAATACAGTAACTTTCGGCCAGAGCGGGCACTCGTGAACTACAATGTAAAATGGAGAAAAAAAAGAGGGGGGAGGGGGGGCGCCATTATACTACCTTACAGACGGGGATACAGAATGAAGAAAGTACGCAATGTGGCAGGGAGAGCGAGCGTAGGACCAGGAACGAAGCGGTGGGTTCATAAAAGGTATAAATCATGATGGAATCCAGAAAGCTAAGTGCGAGGAGCTAAGTGCGTAGCGGATTTGTGTAGGTAATATAAATGTTGCGTTTTAATTTTCAGGGACGTTTGTTTTCGTTAGCGTTACACGATTTTAACTGTGTATAGCGTGCAATGCTTACAGCGCGTCCGACACTTAATGTAAACCTGACAACATCGGCGTGTTCTGTGCATAGGCTAGTTTTTTAACTTCAGGCGTCACATGCGTTGATATAACACAGCTTTAAATGTTTATGTAAGACTGTTTTCATTTGAAGTGAAGTAGTTACATTCTTTGTTGATATTAATTAAAGATACAATTTCAACATTTTGTTTAAGACATTCAAAAGTGCACAATTTCTGCTTTCCTAACATTCATCAATAAAGGGAACATAAATATTGATATCTAATAAATTATTTAAGTTTTGGTACAATTGTTATTAAAAATGAAGCAAAAGAGAAGACCTATGAATTGATAAGGCAATATTAAAACTCTTACATTGTTGTAGTCATAAATAATATTTCTAAATAGTTTATATTGTTTTAACTTTCTGTTTTTTTATAATTTTATTTAATTAATATTATGTTCAAGATGTTCAAGTTGTATAGTTTGTTTTGATGAAGACTTCTTATTCATAGAATTGTTTGAGTGATTTAAATAGAAAATACTAACATGTTTTAGTTCTCAATTTTTAATTGTGTATTTTAATGAGGGTAGCTGTTCATGTGATATGCATTTATTTCTTGGTGTTATTCCTGGAATACATATTTTTCACCACATTGTGGTATTCTGGTTTTTGTGTTCTTGTTTAATTTAAATGCATTACAATGTTGCTTCACAGCCAGGGTTCTCAATAATGCGTTAAAGTAACGCATCACCGACGTGGAACCACATTTTTCAGTAACAAGTAATGTAACGCGTTGGTATTTCAAATCCAATAATCAGATTACAGTTACTTTTCAAAAACACTTTGCGTTACTATCTTCTTTTGTTATTTAATAGGCCTCTCATGATAAAAGATTTTGCTGGGCAATTAATTGTCTAAAAAAATTATTGTGATAAACGATAATATTGTTTGAAGACCTTTTTACATTGATTTAATGGAAATTACATAATAATACATGCGATTTCCTGTCAAAGATAGATACACTTTACTTTCAAAAGACATACTGGGACTGATACACAAAATAAATAAAACAACCATAACCAAATATAAAATAGATTCTCAGTCTCCATTAACAATAAATGTATTTGAATAAAAACTATACAACATGAAGCCAAAGTGGAAATAAATACTGCATTCAACCAAAAGAGTGCAGATTTTGAGGTCTGTATAGTTTATTGCTCTTCAGTAATAATTAGATTTAAATAGAGAAGAATCTGACTGCCTGATGCAATAGTTCAAACTACAAGATTTTTTAACCTCAACGACAATCTTAGAACATTATTCGTTATGAGATTTTCACTTGTGTTGTGTATTATGGTAGATCGTTGTTCCTGCTTTGATGTAAATCAGTGATTTATCCAGACTTGGAGCTTAACACATTCTGTTTAATATGACTGGTAGCCAATCTTAAAGTGCGAATTCTCCTCCTGTTTTCTGAGAGGAAACACGGAGGGAATCCTAAACAGTTGACACGGTGCAACCCGAAGTCCAGCAGACATCGGAGATGATATGTGGAAACATGAATGTTTCTGCAACATTTCGTGCAAAGAAAATATAAATAACTAGGGCAGTAGTTGGAGCGAAATGTCTACCAGAAAACCCGGTAACTTTTCAGCTGTTCTTCGTTAACGTGACATAAATAGGTTCTAATAATTTTCATTCAGTCAGACTGACACTAGCCAAATGCATTGCAGGAAGATTGTAGTAAGGAATTGATTAATGCCTGGTTTCAAAGTTAGTGAACTGGACTTATCATTTTGTGTCCATTGTTGGACACAACACGGTTTCAATCAAACCGTTATAGTGAGGATTTCTGTCGGCTAATGTGTCTCAGGTTTTGATAAAGGGCCGACAATAGGCGACATAAGATCGTGCAGCACGCGCTGGGCATTACACTAAGAAATAAGGAAGGGAGGGTCAGTGGAGAGCACCGGAGTTGAGCCTTTTTTCATTCAGTGTCATCAACAGTAAGAGAAAAAGAGAGGAAGAAACGATATAGCCAATAATTGAAATAAGGTTGATAATTTTAATGTATTGTGGGATTAATAGATTTATCGTTTATCGTGACAGGTCAATTATTTAATTGTTTTCCCTCTACGTCCCTTGTTGTGTGACCGACAATATAATGTGACAATATCAGCGACAGTCAGTTTTCACATATTTGATATGTTACTATCTTCTTAAAGGATTTAATTTTTTTTTCTCAAGTTTTAAGTTATCTTGAGATGTTTTGTTTATTTTAAACTTTTGTTCACAAACTAAGCATGTGTAGCATTAACCATTTACAGTGATTGAATAGTTTTCATATTAGATTTTTAATAGCTTTTATTATTTATTGTGCTGTTGAGTTAATTATTAGTTTTCATTTTAAAATATTTTTAATAGTTCATCTTTTTTTTTCTTACAGTACCATTGCAGAGATACCTCTGTATCTCGGAAGCTCTGGAACGGAGTGTCCATGAGGCCTTCCAGGGATCTCTGGAGGCCATAGAAAAACGTGGGAGGCAGCTGAGGGCAGCTGAACAAAAATTGAAATACCTACAAAAGCAATTGGAGGATGAAAAAACAGAAATTATCAATCTAAAAAAAAAGAAAAGCTTTACCAAGACCAACTTGCTGCTGCTCAGCAGAAAATAGAGGACTTGGAAGACTGTGCTGTGTTTTATAGTGATGGTAGGCATATTTATAGTACATCATGTTCATTTTAGCTTTTATTTCTCTTTTATATTGTAATCTTAATTAACATATGATACAATGGTATTTCATGAGGTGTTTGTAGTGTATACAGAAAGTATTTTTTTGTTGTTGGATTCTTTATTATTTAGTTCATCTTACAAATACATTGTTAATAAAAGATCAACTTTTGATTAAAAAAATTATATTTGAAACTAAAATTGAGCTTCACAATATAAGGACATTCATTCACTAATTTAGATTTTAAATAACGATTTTATGAATTTTACCCCCTTCTAATCAGCATGTACTAGGTATCCCTTCATATTTGTTTCAAGCAGAGTTTGTTTGTATTTGTTTCTGTGAAGCTGCTTATTTCAGCATTATAGTCTTCTCTATTTTCTACCACAATTTGAGAGACAATATTTTTAATTTCAAAGAAGGATTACATTTCTTTGTTTTTTTTAAATGTTTAATGTTTGTTTGTAATTGTAAAAATATTTTGAATTTGTATATGTTTTGATGTTTTTTTTATGTTAAAATCTTTCAGATAAAAGGGATGCCATCACTCAAACAGAGGAGAGTGAAGATGAGGCAC